AGCCTGGTCCTCCCTGCTCCCTCTGCCTGTTGTGAAGCTGGCAAAAGCCGAAGCTCAGCCCGCCCCAACCTGCCCAAGACCCGCCCCGGAGAGCCTTGCACCTCCCTTCCCCGACACCCGGGTCCCTCCTGGGGGAGCCCGGCATCTTCGCGCCCCGCAGGACCAGGCTGGCAGCGGAGGGAAGGAGATTCTCCAGCATCCTCCTGAGATTTTGCACCCACCTCTATGGACCTGTCCTCCGGTCACCCACCTGCAAAACTGCGGGGAGCTGGAGCACCGACTGGTCTTTTAGGGTGTATTTGGAGGCAGATGTTCTCTGTGCAAAAAGAGATCCTGGGTTTAACCTTCTTTCTGCTTTATGGGCCCATTTTTGTGGCTGGCAACAGTAGGTTCTCAAAGGGTCTGGATTTTCAGTGGGTCTGACAGCATGGTATTCCTTAGGGACTCTCAGAGATGGAGCTTCTGCATTTTGGCATCCCCATCCTCTCAGATGGAAAATTTTGAGCAGTGACAGAGGAACTCCTCCACAAGCTGCATAAGGTCTTTCTGGCCCTTGTGTTACAAAGATGCTTCAAATGTAGTTTTATTTCTTGGTGCAAAAGGTAAAAGCTAAAGTCCTTATTGCCTATGGCTTGGATTTTGTGGGGGGAGAAAAAAGGCAAAAAAAAAAAGAGATAGTAATTTTTTAAATGTCGGGGTTCATAGGACCTAGGCACCAGTTCTGGGATTTGCCCCAGTAAATATTGCACCAACTTATTTTCAGGGCCTGAAATTGTGGATATGACAAAAGAATTTTTTCTTTATAAGATTTAAGTGCTATTTCATATCCTGTTTATCATTCATTATTTCCCAATGGTGTCAAACACCAGAGTTCTGTATAGTCAGAGGAGTTCCGGGGCTCACCTAAGTTACCCAAAATAGGCCTCTAATGCCATTTGAGGAAATATATATATTTGCAACTTTTTTCATAACTGCATAGACCTCCAATAAGTCCTATATCACATTTGCCAGCTCCACCTAGATATTATAGATATAACAAGGGCACCTTGAGTAGTGTTACTTATTTATGTTTAAGAAACTGAGTCATGTCTGTGGTATCTATTAATTTCTCTGATAGTCCTGACCAAATCACTCTGTTGTAATGGGAATCTAGACAATTTGTTCATATGTGGACAGCTGTATTAAAATGCTGAAACGTGGGCGTTTTGTATCAGGATGTACCCCACCTTAGTCTTGCAAATCAAAGAAAATTGGGTCTAAAACGAAATAGTATCCCCAGGCTCATGCTGGAGAGACAGTCAGCCTTACAACCTGTGCAGAATAAATAGGGGGATGAAGATAGATTTGTGGGATAACATTTGTAACCTAATTCTCATTTACCTCCCCTTTTCTATATATTTGTCTTTCATTAGTGCATAATGGCATTTGATCGCTTACCTGTACACATAAGCTTCAAATTCTACTCCAAAAATCAAGTCTATTGTAAAATAAAGAGATTAAAACCTAAAAAAAACAATCTGAAATCTGATTTTGATTGGTTTTCCCCATCTATAGTGCATCAGTTAAAGCTGTGGTCAACCCTCACTAGTCAATAAGGTGGTTCTCATCACACTGGAATAATTTTTAGGATCCCACTACAAGGCAGGCACCACATGGTATCAGGCAGTTCCTAATTCTAATGAAAAGGAAAATACAAAGCAGAGGCCTATCAAATACCCCCAGGACAGGACCGGATTATAATTTTTTTTTTCAACCAACTTGAGTATATGAGATCATAGAACAAAGAAATAATTTAGGTCAGAAGGGACCTATGGCGATCCGGCCCCAAATCATCTCCTCCCCTCAAAATATGCCAAACTTCCAAGTCAGGTCACGTTGCTCAGGCATTTGGTTGCTGTGTTTACAAAAAAAATTAAAAAAAATTGCTCTCACTCTCAGGAGTCACACTGTAAACACAAAGATGAAATTAAATGCATATCAGCATGACATTCCAGTCCACAATATTTCAGCTGGATTCCATTACTTAAGGCCTTGCAGGTCACTTTGATGAAGTCTTTCAGGTCATCATAACCAGTCTTCTAGTTTGGAGCAAAACCAAGTGAGACCATTTTTTTAGTGGTTTTTTTGTGTATTTTTTTGACATGGGTGTTCATAAGCGGTCCTTAGGAGAAGGCATTGCTTCTTAGAGCATACGTGATCTCTCAGTGCTTGCTTCCTTATATATTTTCCCCTCTCCTTCTGCTTTTCCTATCTGATCTACAGCTGATCTAAAAACCAGGCCACATTCCAGTCCTTGAGCTTTAAATTAATTAGCTGGAAGCTCCTCTTGTAAGAGTTTTTGTCCATGCTACTAAAGAAAACAAAGCGTGCTCTCATTGCGTTTTTGTAACATCTCACTGTGGTTAACGTTATAAACCTTGCCTACATTCAAGTTTCTGAGTTTATTAGTTTACTTATATCCCTTCATTACTTTAAACAGATCCTTTTGTAGGCTAAAACCTTATTTAGGTTAAACCCTAATTTCTGTTTATCACATTGATTTACTTTATTCATTTTACTCTTTGTTATTTCTCTGTAGAGAAGAGCAAATAAATAAGGAAATAATACAGGAAAGTAACCATACTGCTCATAAACTCTTGTATGCTCTGATGTATTTTGCTACTTTATATCACAGGATAGTTCCTTGCCTGGTAAGCTGGCTATAACTAAGCAATTTTTTTTTCTCTTCAGCAATTATAGGATAACTAATCTAAGGTAAGGATCAGCTCTACTTTCCTACTGCTCTACAATGCCAACCTGGGCTCAGAATGTAGCACTGATGTGCATAAAAATGTCCTCTTGTTAGCATCAACAAGCAATCTAGCCATCGTGATGGCATGAAACTTAATCAATGAAGCAATAGGCCTGAGATTCTTCCTAATCCCCATCATGGATATTCTGAATCAATGGATGCCATTTAATGAAAATGACTTGACATTTACTGAGCTACTTAGAACCTTTGCAGAAGCTGGAAAATGTTTTTTTGATACCGTATGCTACCTGAGTAAGGCTTTTCCACAACAAAAATCTTTCTGAAATGCAACTGAGTTTCCTCTGTGTGCGTACACAAGCACCTCCTTAGACAACAGAAGTATAGTGCACCAGCACCACATTCCAATATGAGCCATCAGCCAGAGAATAAAGGTGAATCTATTGATTTTTCTAAACACTCTTTTGATAAATCAGACTAAAGGTGCAAAACAAAAAGCCCTGAAAGTATGGGAAGAAGGCTGTAATTACTGAAAACATGTAATCTAGTGGTTAGACAGAACATGACATTACTGAGTAACATATTGCAAATATAATTAAAAGCAAAGCTTCATCTAAAAAATTGAGGGTATATAAAAAGGATGGAAGTTTTATTCCTGAGAATGATCTCTGTGTGATGTTTGAGGGAGTGGGGTGAAAACAGGAAGATAAAACAACTGTAGAAATGGGTTGGTTTTGAGACATTAAAGAGGCAAGGCGCTAAATATCAAAAAAGTACTTAGAGCTGCACGAGGATAATTTGTCCAGTGCATTTTCTTTGTATACTCTAGCTATGTTATCTACTTACTATTTTGCTTTGGTAAAATTGACTCCTGCTGTGTCCTGGAGCTCCGGCTCCACATGCAACCATATTCTATTACTGCTACCTGGCCTGACTCCTGGGACACCACAGAAATATAGGTAGAGTTTTGTTATGCAGTCATGGACGCTTGACTCATGTGGATTCTGTCTCACATGGAGGCCCCATCCCTGGGAACATTCCAGGCCAGGTTGGACGGGGCTGTGAGCAACCTGATCTGGTTAAAGGTGTCCCTGCTCCCTGCAGGGGGGTTGGGCTGGGTGACCTCTAGGGGTCCCTTCCAACCCAAAACATTCTATGATTCTATGTATTAAACTGTAAACTTAATTCCACCCAAGCATCTAAGACGCTTTCTGAATTTGAAAAATATATCTTATCTGTGCTTATCTACCACAAATCTACCGTTTAGATTCTTTTCACAATAAATTCCTTTAATCTTTTCAGTATTTCCACTTGAAAAAAAAATTGTCAGTGATCGCTTCTCCATTTCTACTGTCTTATTTGTTGAATAAGAAAGCAATTTTTTCAAACCTAAGAGAAGTTACTTTTTCCAGTGACACACAATGCAATCTTCATTCCTATTAATAGTCTCTAAAGAGTTGACAAACCAGCTGTTCCTGTCCTCAGAAATAGTTTTATGCATTGCATTATTCATTTGTTTTCTTGATTTCCTCTGGCCATTTCAACTCAAATTCATTTCTGTTTGTTTTTCAGGATGAGTAGAGCAACGCTGATTTTTATTCATTAAAATGCGGCTTTAACACTAAGCTTGCTCCCCTCATAAGAGCCAAGAATAGATCCATGTTTCTCCTAAGCATAGGTTGAGTCTACAAAATAGAAGACAGGTAAACGTGAGTAACCTATTTTTAACAACCCAGAAGTTCAGTAACTGCTGTCTGTTTAACAGAGAGAAGG